CCGCCGGCCGCGCCGTTCTCAAGCCCACCGGCCGTCGCTCACTCATCCCGCCGGCAATCCTCACTCTAGGCCGCCGCCGCTCACTCTAGCCCGCCATGTGTGACACTGTGTTTCATTGTGAAAGCGAAACTACTTTGTTTGGCCTTCCAAAAGAGGACACGACTAGAAATCAGTGGTTAAGTTGTATTTACAACACTGTTCCAGAACACTTCAACCCAAATATTCAGATGTGTGCAGCACATTTTATGGAGGACTGTTTCCTGGGAGATTAGACTACAATGCCGGCTGCTCTGACTCACAGACTGGAAGTACGTTTTTTATAGGGATGCACCGATACCGATACTGCGCTCCTGTACTCGTACAAATGCCCCGGTACCAAAAGCCGATACCAAGCAGTGTGTGAATAGAGCTGGTGTAGTTCGGTCGGATATGTCAAAAGCAAGTAAGTAAAACAATGCACAAGTTACTAAAGTTATTTGACGGTAAGGGAGAGCGAGAGAGAGAGCGTGCACTTTTGTTGCATGATCTTGATTGCTGTTCGCTCCATTAGCGCATACATTTGGATTAAAACTAAATCGTAAATATAAAACAAACAAAAATTATAGGCGCATTCACTATAAACAGCATTTATTTTAAACGTCAAGCATACACAACTTTATTTAAAGCAGAACTGAAACTAGCAGACTGGGTGAAATGCGCTAGGCTGTAAGTATCTCTCACACTCTGCACCAATACAAACGTGTGCGCGCTGCGTATGTTTAGCTTGCTTTAAGGCCAAAGTATACTTCGGTTTTTACTCATACGTGAGGGTCCGTGTACACTGCGCGTGACGCAAATTACATCACCAAAATAGTACGTGTGCACTCGTATAATGTATAACTAATATAGTGGCTCCCTGCGTTATTTCAGGAAAACATTTTGTGATTACAGTATTGAGCTGCTGCAATGGAGCAGCTCTAATGCGCCATTAAAATGAACAGTGAAAGTAACAAAAAATGAAAGTATCGGTATCGGACTCGTTCTGAAAAAAGTGGTATCGGTGCATCCCTATTTTTTTATATTTAAAGAATTTGCCACTGATGGGCCGAGTTTTGGGCAGTGCAGAGAAGCGCTTGTTGTTTGTCATTTCTCCGATCACAAATGCAGTATATATGAGGTGAGGTAAAATTTAATTGTTTTCTACTCCAGATATACACTTTTCAAACTAATATATTATTTTTTAAAATGTAACATTAACATGGCTGTAATTTGGACATAGATTTCATACAAATACAAAGCAAAACAAATGTGCATTTTTTCTATTTGTTTTTACTATGTAACATGTCTATTCAGTCAAGAACCATTGGATTGAAACCAAATCCTCACATTACATTTTTTCCTCTCATCACAACTTTCAGTATAATACTCTGACTTAACCAGACAATATAACAAGGAGACAGACCTTTTTTAGAAAAATAAATGTCAATTTTTCAGGTTCACTGTTTTTCTACGTCAAAATAATAAATCGCAAAGCAATTCCATATTTCACTTTAATTGTACACTTTTTTTTACACTTCACATTTTCGATATTGCTGTATTCGATATTGCTGCTGTGCAGATCTTGTGCGGTGTCACTGTTAAGACACAATAACGGACATCAAAACAGTTAGCAAAATGGCAGCACGTATTTATATGAGAAGAAGCTGTTTGTTTTTGTGTGCATGTGTCTTCTGGAGATAAAGGAAGGATGTTTGATACAGATAGACTTTGACTGGGAGAGCACTTTTCCACTTGACCTTGCAGAGTGAGAGAAATTACCCACAGCAAGAGTTCAATTCCACCAAATGTGCTGGAAAAGTGTGTGTGAGTCTTTGAATCTGCTGGATTAAAGGGAGAGAAAGTGCTAAGATGTACTGGTGGATGTAATTGTGCTTTCTGGAGGTAGTTGACAAGGGAAATTTGTTTGTAGGAGGAGGGCGGGTGAGTTTGTGTGGGCCGGCGTTTGCAAGAGCGAGTCAGCATGTGTATGTGTGTGTGTGTGTCCTCATAGCTAAATTGATTAACTCCTCTCACCTCTTCCAGATGCTAACTATCCAGCCCAATTTGAGCTGTAATGAAAATCATCATGGCCTGCTGTGGAGGGTCAATAAGACAATAATGCACAATCTAATCACAAAACCATACACGTCTCCTATCAATATGACCTCAGCACATACTGAGGCTTATTATGCAAATTGCCTCTATTCGTTAGTGAACAGGGTAATTGATTTAGTTGGCCCAGTTTCTCAACACAGAAGGAGCAGCTTAATGGAGTGATTCAACCAAGTGGACCCCATGAATGCACGGCAACACACACAAACACATTTATGTAAAGCACCTATAAGCACTTGCGTTATAACACAAAGAGGGTGATTTTACGGTCCATCGCATTATTCCATTAAGGTAATAATTCACAGCCACCGCATTTCTATTTAAATGTTTGAAAATTATTACCAAAACAGCTGAAGGTACATCCTCCATATTGATTATCGTCTGGTGCCTATTTAGGAAAAGATTCACCTGCTAATACGCATCCAACATGTAAACCGAACAACCTCGTTTTTTACATGGTGTTTATGGGCAACAAAATAGGAAATACATGATATCACAATAACAGACCTTCATGCAGTAACGTGGCTCATTCGCTAATGGTGCAGCAGTCTCTGCAAACGGTTGTATAGGAAACTAGCAGTATGGGTTTTTATATACACAGATATTGAGCGGGGAGGTCAATGTACTTCAGTATAATGATTGCAAATAAGATAACTTAAATAAGGCTATTGAAAGCAGGAACATGCATTTGGAACTGACACACAATAAGGCATACTGCGATTCGAGCCAAAGGCTGTTTAGATAAGACGGTGCACTCGTAATGCTATGAATTGAGGAAACTGCAACACACTATATGGCAGCTGAGGGAAGGGCTGTGCAAAACACCGAATATTAGCAACACCGCAATCTAAAAAAAATTAACTTTGTTGTTGCAACAACCACACATTTTTGTAGGAAGACTGCCTTTTTGGCATCATTTTTATGTTTTTATTTTGCATATTTGATTTTGGTAAATATGATTTTTAACTAGTGCTGATTTTGCAGTAAATAATTTGTAGGCACTCTATAAAAATAGCCGTTCTATCCAAATCATGTCCTTTTTGTTGGGGTGCAAATCACCTTTTACAATTTTTTCAGGAGTAAATGCAAAAATATAATGATAGGCCTATATGATTGATATGAATGAATATCATCAAAACATGGAAAAATATTGAGATTCAAATTTTTAGCTATATTGCTCTGCCCTACTCCAGATGGCTCTAGTACTGCAAGTACACTTTTATATAAATAAAAGAGTCAATCACGAATTGGTAAAGTCATCGCATCACTGCAGCTTCTATAGAAACCCATCCTGGGACCCACCTTTTTTTTTTTCTTTTTCTTTTTTTTAATGTCAGAAACATTTACAACACAGTTCATGTTTAATTTTTTTGCTGACTCAAAAAATGAGTATTTCCCCATTCAAATTGGTCTTGCAAGCCTGAAATATCTGCCTGGAGCTGTTGCAAATATGGCTGACAGAGTGACCTGGCTTTCCTTGAAAGAGACTTTAAGCATAAGCAGCAAATTATGCCCAATATATGCAAAATACGATAGCATAATATCAGATTTCATACCTAATGAGAAATAACTTGTAGTGCTGTCAAACGATTAATCGCGATTAATCGCATACAAAATAAAAGTTTTTGTTTCCATAATATATGTGTGAGTACTGTGTATATTTATTATGTATATGTAAAAACACACATGCATGTATATTTATGAAAAATATGTCAACCCTCTACGCACACCTTGGCCATTGGCAAGTAAA